CATAGTCCTGTTTTGCTACATTCTGTGGAGAGATTAATAGCTCTTAAAAGCAGGAGGGACTGTTATGACCGCTTAGTCTGATCTCCTGCAGAGCACAGGATGGAGAATTTCTCCCACTTCAGGTCCACGACTTCTAGTAAAACAAGAGCGTTTCTCAGCCAGTGCAGTCAGCCCTGATTTAGTCCCTCAGCTGCGGCGTTTCCTCGGATGCCCCTCTCTCCTTGTCCCCGTCCCATGCCAGCCTCTTGCCTGCAAGAGGGGGTTGACTGCACAAGCCCAGGGCGTTTTTGCAGCCCACCTTGTAGACCGCGTTATCATTGGGCAGGCTCGGAGCAGCCCATTTCGGCCAGGCTGGTAAAACACGTGCCGCTCTTGCTTTGCGTCTCAGGTGCTGCAATTCTGGAGGTGTGAAAAGATTTGGCAGGGCTGCTCTTACGGGGCAAAACGTACCGTCCTCGCCATGCTCTGCCTGAGGCCCCCGCGCGCCTGGTCCCGGCAGAAGGCCAAGAGACCAGCTGGGACGTGTCTTCAGCGCAGGTCCCAGGTGGGGGTTTGTGTAAGGGCGTCTTTCCCAGGGGCTGTAGCCGGAGCCTCGGCGCCTTTTGTGTGGCTTTGGCCCACGCAGAGCTCCGGGGGATGGGGCTGGAGGGTGAAGAGCGGGAGAGGGTGGCTCTTGGGTCGCATTGGCGGCGTTGCCCACCTCGTGCTGGAGCAGCTCACAAGTGCCTTAATAGTGCAAGTCTTTGAGGACATTTTTTCCTCTGTCTTCATGTTTCAAAGCAGCTGAATTATACTTGGGTTATTTTCCCAAGCTTTTGTTCACAGCTCTGAGGACTCGTGACTTGTTTTGAAAGGAAAGCTGAGATTTTTTACGTATTTGGGTGAGTCTGGGAGAAGAAGCTTTTGGAAGAAGGAGCTTTTGGAAGAAGAGCTAGGCTCTTCACGGGATTGCCGATGATTTGGGGAGTCAGACAGCTTGCGCTGTCGCCCTGACAGTCTTCCTTCATGAGATTCGTCAGGCAGAGACGGGGGCAGCGTGAGACACAGGCTCCTCTTACGAGCAGAGAAATGGGGGACTGTGGAAAGAGGCAGCGGTCCAATGCCCCGTGCTGGTAATGGCTCTCTTCAAAACGCCCCTTGTTCAGCATCACCTTGTTGAAGGTGGACAGCTTGGAAAAGAGGTGGCTAATAACACGGCGAGGCTGCTATTTTCAGAGCTCGCTATGAAAGAACAGAAATCATTCGTAAGGATTTTGAGCAACTGGATGGTGGCCCTGCTGCAGGGCTGGATTATTTCTCACAGAAGGAAAAATTCCCTGTAGAAAGGAAGAGAAACTTTGTTAACGGAGGTGAGATGGGTGGACAACGTCTACCGCATGCAAACACCTGCAGCCCACAACTCGCTTAAGCCAGAAAGGTCCAGGGGCCGGAGCAGGAACAAGACAAACAAGGTCCAGGTTCTGTGTCTGGCTCTTGCACAGGCTGGCTTGGTGACCTTGGCCAAGTCCCTTCTCTCCCTCGTAATAATTCCTGTTTGTAATAGGACGAGGAGAGTCTGTGGCTTTTGTAAAATGCTCTCAGAGCAAAAATAGGCTTGTGTTGAGGACAGTGACCAGCTGCTCGAGATGAATAGAGCCTTTGTGGGGGGTGGAGTTCTTTCCCCCCCATTTTAGCTCCTGGTTATTTGTGCTTCCTCAGGGATTTGAGATGGGACAGCAGTGAAACAAATGGCAGAACTGTCTGCCTTCCATAGCTTACGTGCCATTGAGCATTATCTGCATTTTAAACCTATTGCAAAGCCTCTGTTTTGCAAAAAGAAGTCTCTGGCTTGGCAGCTCCTTTTTGGCTGTTGAGGCAGGAGCCGATCCCGTCCTGGTGGGACAAGGATGTACCAGGCTGCTGTGGGATGTGCTGCTCTGCCAAGGAGACCGAAGGTCACCAAATCGTTATCTCTGTGGCTGTTGGCAACCGCCACCGGGTGCAGTGTTCCTGCGATTATAAACCTTTGACTCCTTTCCCACTGGCTGGTGCTCGCGCTGACGTATGGGCTTGCTCAGCTCAGGCTTGCTGGGTCATTAGTCCACTGGCAACCAGGGTGGTTGCTTAGCTGAGACTTAGTGCTGAAGGGTTGTTTTGGGGTGTTTGAGGATAAAACCGAACCAGAACCCTGACAAACCCCGCCCTGGTTGGCTAGATTAAAAAATAGAGTAAGGCCCAAAACCTGCTTGAAAAATACAATGTTGTGCCTCCCCAGGTCTGCTCTGGGGCTGAGATCAGTTTGTAGTCCTGTGAAGCTCTTGGACTGCTCCGCTGCACCGCGCTGTTAACCAAGGCAGGGCTCTGCCCCAGCCCCGCTGCGTTTCGGGGATGTTCGAGGTGCAGCTGCTTTCTGCTGTTCTGCTTAATTATAAAGCGCCTGAAAGTCACTTAACGTTATTTTCAGAAGTGTGCTTTCCTGGGTGAGAGCAGGCGTCGCATGCCTGTAGTGCTTCCCCTGAGCTCCTCTCCCGTCAGCATCCAGGGGTTTGTTGGTGACAGAGGAATTAGGAACCTCCCTGTTGTGCCCTGCTCTCCGAGCTGCCTGCTGCTCCCAGCAATCCCGCTTGCTGTTGCTTTTCCAGCTCTCCAGCTGTTGGTGTGTGTGACTGTGAGCCGGTCATCCCACCCCAGTGCCTCGGTTTCCCCCACAGCATGGGGATGCTGACACTGGTCCCTTTGTGATGGGAAGATGAGAAGTGCCCTTGGACCATGGCCGGTAACGTGTCCTCTGGCATTTCTCCTCTGTTGGCTGCTCTTGTTTTTGCAGGATTCTCCGTAAGGTTTTGGGTCCTGTGGAATCGTCCAAGGAAGCCTTTAAAAACCACCTTGTTTGGTTATTTCCTGAAACCAGGGGGTCACTTCTTTGTGGGGTGACCTTAGGCCAGTCCTATCTAGTCCTGCAGCTCTGTTTCCCAATCCGGTAAATAAGGATAACTATTTTTAAGGGAACTTTGAGGATTCAGCAGTGACTGCTTAAAAGAAACCTTGCGAATGTGTGCCGGGCTTTTGAAGGTCAGGACTGCTCACGGCAGCGCTGCTCAGGGATCCCCGTAGCAAAACACACGCAGATATCTCAAACACCCAAACCCAGGTTGGTCTGATTCCCAGAGATGGACTCTGCTGCTCTTCGTTAAGCTGCTAAACATCCCCGAGACAGCCTCTAAGGGCTGTATCATTTTAGCCGGAGTTTTGCAGGGTGGTGTTGTTTACTGCAGCCTCAGCCCGGCTCTCGCTGCCCTCCCCCCCGGGCTCGGGTTCCCGGGCAGCACCGGCAGCCTGCTGGTGTGGGCAGGGGGAAAGGGCCGTATCAGGTGCCGGCAACGCTCTGCAAGTTTAATGAGGCAGGAAGGAGACACACGCCACCTCGGCTTGGATGCTGCTGCCTGGTTCCTCTCCCTGCATCAAGGGGCCGGGAGTGCTGGGGCTATTTTGGGCTTTGCTTTGTTTTCTTCTATTTGTATTAGTGGAGACCCAAACTTGGCTCTTTTCTGCCCGTCTCTAGCGCAGAACCAGCAGTGTGTGGCAGAGACCGGGTTCAGCTCTGCTGTTTTTTATTTTTTGCCCCTCTGCCTCGGTGCTGCAAGTCATGTTTTTGTGGAAGGTTCCCTGTGCTGCTCAGAGGCGGGTGCCTGCTGGGACCTCTTTGTTCATCCCGGGACAAAGCAGGAATTCCTTAGCAAATAAAGCCCAGGGTGCCCTGGACGTGACTCCATGTAAAAGCAAATGGTCTGTTGTGAAATAGTTGTGCAAGTGCCACGCTGAGACACCAAAAGGATCCCCGGCTCGAGGAGCTGGGAAGAAACCCTCTCCACAGCATCTCAGGCTCCTCTTCGGGCCATCAGCCCTTTCCATCCGCCCTCCTGTGCTGGTCGGGACAGGCTGCTCTGCAGTGCCTGGAGGTGCTGGCTGAGGCAAGGGCTCTTCTGGGCAGCCCTGGCTCTGCCAAAGAACCCAAAATACAGGAGAGCAAAATGATGCTGGTGTGGCTGCGAGGTGCCAGGGCAGAGACGGGAGGCCGCGCTCCGGCCCCGCTGCCCCCGCGGGCACGCTGGGTTGGTGGTCTTCATGGTCACTGAAAGCCTCTTTGCTTTCCAGCCTGTGCCTTCGCTGGTCTCTGGAACTGTGTCACCATCAACCCCCTGAACATCGCGGCCGGCGTGTGGATGATGTGAGCAGAGTTTTCTTTTCTTCTTTCTGCCGGGAGGGAGGTTTGGTTAATTAGACACCACTGGGCAAGGGGCAGAGCTGCCCCGCTTGGGCAGCGGACGCGAGTGAAACATCTGTCAGGCTCTGAGAGTCACCAGATCTTGCTCCGTTGGGCAGGTTGAGATGCTGGGTTTATTCTATTTACATTCTTTCTTTACTCCTTTTTAAGGAAATACTGAGATACTCTAAACCAAAACGAGTCTGGGGCACCAGGGTTTGGGAATTATCAAGAAGGGGGGAGGGAGCGCAGTGGGGTCCAGCCCCGCCATTCCCTTCTGCCTGCGTTTGGCCATGGGAACGGCTGGTCTCTGGGGGGGGGGCAGGGGCATTGCGGGTGGGATTAACTCTGGTTTTCTCTATCTGGAGGCTCAACGCCTTCATCCTGTTCCTGTGCGAAGCGCCCTTCTGTTGCCAGTTTATCGAGTTTGCGAACGCTGTCTCTGCGAGGGCAGACAAGCTGCGGCCCTGGCAGAAAGCTGCTTTTTACTGCGGGTGAGGACGCTGGTGGGGTGTCTTGTGGTGGTGAAGCCATCCCGGGAACCACGCTGGGATGTCCGTGGGCATGCTGCGATGGACAAGCATCCCTGCATCCCGTGGGAAGCGGAGCCTGGCTTTGAGGGCTGCTTCTGTCTTCCAGGATGGCTGTGTTCCCCGTCGTGCTCAGCCTGACGCTCACCACGCTCTTTGGAAATGCCATCGCGTTTGCCACCGGCGTGCTTTATGGCCTGTCGGCGCTCGGCAAAAAGTAAGAGAGATCTGTCTGCTTGTGGAGGGGAGGGAAGGTGGACCACCAGCCCTTACCCCCATCTTCCTCCCTGAGGCCACGCTTTCCTCTTATACTAACCGTGGTTTCAGGTGTAAATGCTGCCCGAGAACATCTCCCTGCCAACATCTCAAAGCCCTGGGAGGGCAGGTCCTAGCGTTTGCTGAAGCTCTGAGCGTTTCCTTGGGAGCTCAATCTAGGTTGCCTCGTGGGTCCCAGCCCCCTTTCTGCAGCCGCTGGATGGGGGCCCCAGCTCTGGGGGCGGTGAGTGGTTTTGGTGGGGTTGGAGAGAGCCAACAAGTCCCATTTCACTCCTGGTATCCCTCAGCACGGAGGGTGCTGGGCCCCGGTTGGGAGACCTTTGTGCCAGGAGCTTACCCACCATGGTGGGCACCCAGAGCTCACCTTCCCCACGCTGTCCCTTCTCTCTGCAGGGGAGATGCCATCACCTATGCCCGGATCCACCAGCAGCAGAAGCAAATGGATGAAGAGAAGCTCACAGGCTCCCTGGAGGGACAGGCTCTCTGAAGCACTCGAGCTCGGGGTAACTTCTTCTGGACATTCAGATGGTGAAGATACGGAAATCCTCTCTGCCCTTCCCTCTGCCCACTCCCCTCTCCGTTACGCCACGATTTCCCTGGACACTGCAGCATCTGGAAACCTCAGGGGCTGGGGCAGGCTGTGCCCTCTTCTCACACCAGCTGACAGACCTCAGCACGTTGGTCCCTCTCTCCTCAACCCTCAACCAAATATCTCAGTCCCCCGATTTTTTAATTTTTTTTTTTTTTTTTTCTGCTGCAGAGGTGCTGGCTCTTTGAGTGCTGCTTTACAAGCCTGAATAGGCAGCCTTTCTTTGGAGTGATGCCTGATGACGAGCCGAGGCTCATTTGGGATGCAGTGCTCGTTTGGGAACTGCTCTCCGGCTGGGGTGGGGAGGGACAGAGCTGACCTGCCACCTCCGTGTCTGCGCTGGTCTCATGGGAGTCAGGGAGCCGCTGGCCTCGTGCCTGGGGATAACCTGCCATTGCACGTTACATGTTTTTAGTAACGATCTCTGGTGTGGCCCTTCCCAGGTCTGGTACACCAACCCAGGGTTTAACAGCGCGTGGTGATGCCCAAGCTTGGTCTTCTTCCATTGAGTATTTTTTAATATGGGTCCAGTTAGACCAGGCATCAGAGGCATCACTGCGCGGGCAAGGACTTCCAGCAAAAAACCCATATAAAGGCAGTGACCATCTCTGCAGAGGAGCTGCCAGAGGTGCTGGGGCAGATCCTGGCACCTACAAAGCACAGTCCCCTCCATTCCTCTGGATACACTGCAGGCAGTTATTGCAATTTACTTGAATTATAAGAATTAATTACTTTGTCTTAATAAGGGGACTTTTCTTAAGCTTCACTCCTTTACCGGGGAAGAAGGGAAATAAGATTTGCTTTATCTCAGCTGAAAAAGGCTACTATTGCTTGAGCCAAGTGGGATTTTTTGCTGGTGTAAGGGTTACTGATGTGCAAGAGCATCCTTCTCTCATGAGCCCAGGCCTCTGCTCTGTTCTCTCTCACTCTCTGCATCCGCTCCTGCTCCCGTGACCTGTCCCTCTGCTCTTTGCTTCTGTCTGGTACAGCCTTTATCTTTGGCCTCATGTTCTTTTTGCATCAGTCCCGGGCTGGTTTTGTATGGGAAGGTGCCATATCCTTCCTTTGCAAACACAGAGAAGTTGGCACCAGTTCAGTGTGGAGAGCTGGGATGTCTCGCTGCTTTATTCCAGGCTCCATCAGTGGTTCTCGCGTTGTATTTTCTGTTGGCTTTGTATCATGCAGAACAAAACTGCTCACTAAGTTCAGATCCCCCTCTTCTCATCGTGGTTTCTTTTGGGGGGGGTTAATTTATTTGATTTTACGTGATTGCTTTTTATTCTGTTTAGGAAAAAGGGGAATAATTTATTTCTAGTTATTTAAGTATTTTCATGGGACTCATTTTCTCTGGCCATAGGAGAAAGGAGTGCTGTTTCCTGTCCTTCAAAGGACCGCCTCGTTTCACCGGGGGAGCTCTCTGAACCCAGGGACAGCCCTGGCTGCTGTCACTGGGATGCTATAACTGAGATACCGTAAAATCCTATTTCAGCCTTCGGAGTATTTCTCAGACTTCGGAAAGCGTGTCGACAAAGTTTGTTTTCCCCTTCTGGGAGAGAGAAGGGAGCTGTAACTGCAGGGCCGGAGGTTTGTACTCGGCAGCCGAGGCGGGAGAGCAGTGGCAGCGGGGACTGCAGCCTGCTCCTGCTCCCCTGCCCTGGGACCTGAGCTCCCGCTGCCACCAACGCTTGGTGGTCCCATTTGACTCACGGTGGGGACCAGCGGGGCTGCGCTGCGGTCTGAGAAACCCGGCTGGAGGCTGAGCGCTGGCTGTCAGAAGGGGCTGTCCTCCAGCCACTCTGCGGCTTCCGAGCGGTGTTGTGTTGGAAAATATCGATATAACACGTCCTTCCTCTAAGTACGGTGCGTATTTGTGTTAGCAGAATGACACCAGCACCTCCCTGGTGGAGCTGGGGACGGAGCCGCTGCCGGAGAAGGTGGCGGGGTGCGGATGCAGCGTGAGCACTGCGGCGGGAGCAGAGCGGTCCCAGGGGATGGGGTGGGGGGGGGTTTTGCTGCCAGCTCCCGTTAGCTGTTGTCTCTTCCGTGGAGTTCAGGGGGGTGTGAGGATTTACACCAGTCGGGGACGTGGCTTGGGTTTATTTACGTGCAGCTGGATGCTGGGCAGCCGCATTCTGCTCAGCCCCTTTCCCCCAGACCTCTGGACCGTGATGGCTCTGACACCAGCCTGTCTGGGACGCAGAATGGGCACCGCCAGCCCAGATGCTGCTGGTTTCAATAAAGGCTGTGCTTTTTCAGAGCCCCCTGCTCCGGGCTGCATCCCTGCTGCTGCATGCAATACACGGGGCATTGGCCTTCCTTGTGTGTGTGTGTGTGTGCGTGCAGGGAACGCAGCTCCCGGGTGGGTCACGCTGGGGCGCTGCAGGAGGAACACACCGCAGCCCGCGGGATGCTTCAGTGGTAACCATCTCTCTGCCCTTCGAGCCGGCAGCATCCCTGCGCAGTGCCTGTACCCGCTGGTTCAAGTGCAGAGTCCTGCCTAGCGCACAGGACATCTGCTTTGATTTCAGGGGGTTTTGGGAAGTGAAGTAGTGTTCAGTAGAGGAATGTTGCAGACTGATGCACGTAGCTACGAGCATGTCTTTGGTAGTGACTGCTTTGCGCTGTGAGTAGTTCCACAGTAGCTTTAGTGACAGGAGGGGAAAGGCAAAGCAGAGGCGATAGAGTAACGCTGCGCCCGCGGTGATGAACCACAGGACTGGTGGGACCCTCCTGGGCTTCACCTGGTTGCTGCTGGTCTATGGCGTTTGGACAGTCCCTGGGGCCAGCGCAGGCAGACGCTGATCCGGGTCACCTGGAGGGCTCGTCGGCATGGATGGATCTGCTCTGCTCCCTCGGCACCGACGGTAGAAGTCCCGTGGATGCCAGCAGTATGGTCATGCTGTGTTTTGTGGCAGTTGGGTCTGACACCAGGGCCAAGGCATGTGAATGCTCTGCATCACCATTAGCAGGTTGCAAAGCTCAGCTCTGAGCTCAACGCTTTTGTTGAAAATAGGGCTCAGGGAGTCTTCTGGAAGAGCTGAGCTGGAGCCTTTGGCCACAATGCTTAAAGACACCGGGACTGTCTCTGTGCTGCCGCAACAGGAGGTGTCTCAGATCTGTGCTCCAAGAGTGCTGACTCCTACAGATGCGTGCCTGGAGTGGGAGCTCTTGGGAATTTCGGCTGTCTGTGATGCAGCTGAAACCAAGCCAGATGCTGCCATTGTTGCAGATGTGGCTTAGCGACAGCACCCATGGCTTTTGCAGTGACAGTTAGTGGATGGTGTTACCTCTGTGTAGGCAAGACACTGTTTTTGTGGAGATAGAAAGAACCTTTAGAGTAGTAGCATCACAGTAGATAATACGCCCGTTCACGGTGCATGGTGGTTATTAATTGTGTTTAGAGGCACCATCAGGGTGCTTGGAGCTGTGTAAGGATAAATGAAGTTAAAAGCCCTGCTCTAGAGAATTTACAGGCTCAACCCAATCCCTGCTGGTGGCATCTAGGCTGGATGGCTAATCCACGGGGTCTCTGTGGAAGAGGTTCTGCTTGCTGGGTCTTGAAAAGGCCTCTTGGGAGATGGTGGGACAGAAGTTTTGTTACATGAGAACTCAAGAGCAGGTGATGCAGTGACTACAGTGAGTTGTTGGCGAGTGTGGAAAGACACCTGGGTACTGGCAGCGCGCGTGCACTTGGCAATGGACCTTTACACCATGCACCACACGAGCTGTGCGCTTCTTACCCACGTGCACTTATACAGTGTGCGACTCTTCCCGGTCATGAAGCTGACAGCACTTGTGCACATCAGCTCCACTGTCCCCTGGGTGTGAAGAGGAGAGCAGAAGCTCACTTTCTGCTGCCTACCCAGACCTCGCGGCTCTGGGCAGGAGCTCATTTTGTAACACCAATCGGTTCTCTGTGTGTGCAGTGAATAAAAAGACCATTCTACCTCTGGAAAGAGCCACTGTGATTTCTCAGACTCTAAATGTTGTAGCAAAAACCCTCAGACTTTCTATATCAAAGAAAGGAGGTCACTCAGAAAATACTTCTCCAATGAGGTTCTCGCAGGACCTGAAGAGTCCAACCTCATTTCATATTTGGGCATTTCCTCTGTAGGCCAAGCTCTGGGAAGCTCAATTCATCTTTGTCATCTTTTTGTCTTCAGGGAAAGGTTTCACTGAAGTGAAGATATCAAGACCTGGTGCATAGCCATGTGAGAAAGAGAATGCTCTAGCGCAAGGGTGCCAGAGATCCTGATCTTCAGAAGGTCAGTGGAAACCAGAGGCTCTTGAGACCTCTTGTAATCAGGCCATGCTTAGAAATAGTCATATTCTAGCCAGAGCTGAACATCTTTCTGGAAATGGGTCTCAGCTGCAAAGGTTAGGTCTAATACTGAATTTTCTCTGTGGTTTTGATTTTGGCCCATCTCTCTTCCTCTGTCGCAGGCTGCTTTAAGTTATCGTCTGATAAAACACATCTTCTCTTAGGTGATTTCTCTCATCTCCTGCTACAGGGGATCTAAATAGTAGTTAGCATATCTTGAGATCTGGGTCAAATACGCTATGTTACCCCATGCTTCCTTGTCACAGCAGGCTGAATGTTCCAGGAATGGGAGGACACAAACATCTCCACCAGCCCTCGGGCTGCCAAGTGCATTTCAGGAGGTTGGACAAATGCTTGGGCAAAACATCTCCCAGCTCAGCCTTTGTTGTGCTGCTCTTTTGGGAGGAGTTAGGTTGGATGTGATACTCAGCAAAGCCCTTCGTTCCTCGCAGCCATAAGCACCTCCTGCGGCTGTGTTTTACCTAGGGTTAGGCTCTAAAAAAAATGAAAAAGTCCCCAATCTTGCAGGACACACAGGAAAGAGGTAAGAGCAATTTGCTACTAACTATGCAGTTGAAATCTCAAAGTGATGGAGGTGGAGGCTCCACACACAAGTGTGATGGAGACACATCCACCTTCATTGTGGATCAGTAAAACCCTGGGGTGGGAAGGACCCATCCCAGTACAAAGTATTGT